TATCAAGAAAAACTCGTTATTCTGAATCCTCATTATAACGAATCAAAATCATCAAACCAAAAGGTTCGTTATATCGAGTTCTGACTGTATAGTGTTTTTTATCTACGTCATCTCTGCTCTCCGTATCACGATCAGATGATCTTTGCGTCAGATGATATATTAAAACATTGTGATATACTGTTTATAGAAATATACAATATAAAAAGCAGTTCTAATTTTCGTAAAAAGAATAGCCATTCTCGCTATAAACCATGTTATCTGACATCAATGAGCCTGGACCAGGTTTCGAATACTTTCTGAACACACCTTGTCAAGAATGGGATGCGGTTAAATATCTTGAAGCATTAGAAAATTGCAAGTTTGGTTTAGAAAAGGCTACTGTAACAAGAAGATTTCAAACACAATTATGAGAGATAAACGTACAAGGTACAGAATAAGAAAAGAAGAACGCAATACGCCTCGAAGATCAATTCAATGTTGGTATATCTTTCACAGCTATGTAACTGCAGATTAGTTTGTCACATTCAGTAGCCATCCACTTCGCTTCGCTTCCATACTTCGTCTCCAATACTACAGCTACCCATGAAACTTCGTCTTCGCATAGTTATGGACTTCGCCTCCGCTGTTGGCTACAGCTACCCATGGAACTTCGTCTTCGCATAGTTATGGACTTCGCCTCCGCTGTTGCCAGCTTGTGACTTACTAATTTGCAGTTTTGGATAACCTTTTACGAATACATAAATTTTATTTTCGTAAGATTGAATCTAGGAAAACGGGGTTAGTTGACAATTTCTGGATGAAACGTCAAAATTCTACGAAACACGAAAACATGAAGGTTAACAGTACATTTTTGTCTTGTGACGGAATACAGATTGGTTGTATTGGTAATAATATTCAGGGACAAAAACGATCTTACAAAAATCACGAACAATCAACTGAAGGGAGAAAAAAACAAAAGCCTGTATGTATCTTTAACTAAGAGTAAGATTAAAGGCCTTCCTAAATTTGTTATTTATAAAAAAATAAACCTTTTGGATTATAAATCAAAACTACTATTGGAGATGGCGAGAGATGAACTCCAGAACAACCATCAGAACGATGTGTAGAAAATGAACTATCGGGTTCAGCTGAGGAAGTTTCTCCTGTTGTCATACCTCTTCCCGATCGCGATCGTTCTCCTACTCCATCATATAAAAGCGGGGATAATTCTTTGGACGATCATAACAAGGCATCTCCAGTAATATTTTTTTTCATTTTGTTTGCTATATGGTGTGATAAGTTCGTTTCTAATCTGCATTGCTCTTCAAAGTCAAACGGCCATGACGAAAATGAAGATAAAAATCCTTTCATCACAAAGAATGAAGAGGGATCAAGGGACAATAATAAGGTTATTATTAATCAGTATTGTCAATTATTAAGTAAAGAATCTTTATTCATAAAACGTTCTTAATATAATCCTTTTATTAATTAACTCGATTTCTAATTATAGTTTAAGACAATTCTATTATGGCAACATGCTATAAACCGTATTGATATAAATGATACTTCTACAAATGACGTAAATATTGAGAAGTATTATGAATTTATAGTCACTTTTCCCGATATAGTAATAATTTTTTCTTGCCTATAGTGGGTGGCAGATGGTCACAACGTCTCTCTGGATTTTCATAATTTCCAATTAACATTGATCAAACAATTAGAAACAAATCCAACGTTTTCATATTTGAAAGACATAGAACGGATATTGTAAGTATTTATTGTGCAAATAGAATCAGTTTAAATATCTAATTCTTGTATATACCTACAGATGCTTGTCATCAATCATGTTCTGTGATGAGATCAAGCCAGAATTTCTATTATGTTCAGAAAAATTATGGAAGACAATTCGCCCAAGACCATTAGTTCCAATAATGTTACCGATAGTTGTTCAAATAATAGTAATTGAATATAATACGGTAAGTCCTTCCAGATGATGCTAGTAATCAGCAAAAGTATTAATTTGTCCTATTTATGATTTAGATCATAAACGACAAGCAGTTAACGAACACAAGATGGTGTGAAAACTGGACGAGAAGAGGTAATTTAGAAACAGATGAAGAAAAGGATATACAGTCAACCCTCTCTACAATCACATCTTATATAATCACACCTTCTTTATAAGCACACTATATTTTAGTTCTGATTTTTTAAAATATAAAAACCCTCTTTATAATCACATATTAATTATA